CCCCCCCCCCCCCCCGTCGACAACTTTTTTCGTTAAAAACTTTTCCGGACAATAACATTACAAGTGCTTTCGTAGCACTTTTCCCGAATTTTCTAGCAATTTTTCGATGCTTCAGCACGAAGATTCAGACGACATTGACACTGATTCCGACAGGTCTCAACATTGTATTCCGTAATCACTGTTCATTTGTGGCGGGCGAGTGTGGAATGAAATCGTCGGTTTTAACGCCTTCTTTTCAACCCTTTATATACAGTCCTTAACCTTCCTGATACATGTTCTTGAAGCACAGAGGTTTGCAAAGCTTTCGATCCGCCTTAGCAAAGATTAGATGTCCGAGATTATGTCCGAGATTTTTTTATAGCCGCCATTTTGGCAGTAAGTGAAAATTACGGACACGCAAACATTAGGGAAATACGTCGAGTGGCACATCTTTATCGTATCTAATCTTTGGTCTTGGTAAGCCCGGATCTTCATCAGTGCCACAGAATAGAAAATAGACCAGAAGCCTCACTCATCCAAAATTGTGTCCGAGATTTTTTATGCGCAAGCGCAAGCAAGTGTAATCACGACGCCATCAAACGCGAGCAACGCCATCAATTGCCATCACTAGGTAATAAAGATTGCTGTTTTAACCGTTTTTAAATGCCACTGGTCCAAATAATGGGTCATCGCAACAGGAAGACACAACGTAAAAAACAAAAGCGTAAAATATTTGCACAATAATTGCAGAATATGCAGCGTACACTTTGAGCATGTTTTTCGAATTTCAAGAAAAACCGTTGATTTGAGGAATTGACGCTGACGAACGCTGACGTGATGTTCGCAGCAAGTGTCACACACGTCATCTAGCGTGCACAATTCGTGATCCGCAAGGCGAAAATCGCGGACACGAAAATGTTAAGGAAAGGTGTACAGTGAGGCTTCTGGTCTATTATATATTCTATGTCAGTGCTAATAATACGTGACTTGTTCAATTCACACGTCCTTTTATATACAAAAGTGTCGTGATCTGTTGGCTCGCGTCATTTGAATATATTTAATTAAACGGTACATCAACAACGCCATTTAACGTAGTGAAGTGATTCTAATTAACGCACGCGCATCCAAGACATGCAAGAGAAACTAATTTTGCACATTTAAAGAGTGCACGCCGCGTATTATCATGGATAATAAAATAAATAATAAATGGATAGGAAACTAGCTGACGTGACCTAATGTTTTCAATGGGCTGATGGCGTGGATGGATGCCTCAACCTAGTTGAAAACCAAATTCTCAAAAACGGCATGTTTAGCAATAATACAGCTAAACAATTTAATCAAAGAGCAAGTAAATGTAACCACGCCATTCTACGATGAAAACTCTAAGTATTCCCAGTCAATTTTAGCAAATATTTCAAGCACTAAACAGTGAAAAATACATCACAAATTTCGTTAAAATTTGTGACGCCAATTTCGTAGCTACAAATGTAAAAAAAATACAAAACAAAGACGAAAAACATTTACCTTGAAAACTTTGTCGTGGCTTAGGCATGTTTTTAAAACAATTAGACCAGTTTATGCTTCAATATCACCCTTTTAAAGTGGAAAATATAGCAAAACAACAAAAACGCCGAGAACTTTGGTAATATTCGCAATACGCGTGACGTCACGTTTTTCAACAAGGTTGCGGCCAATGACGTCAGAAGTTTCCTATCCAGTTTTTTTACAATCCATGGTACTATCTAGTGGCTTTTCCACCTGATCTGTAGCAGTGCTTCTCGATTTCAATTGACTCTCTCTTGTTACGAGAGAACTTAATATCAATCACCAAAATGTTTGCTAACTTGACAATTCTAATTATTTAGAATGAACCTTCAAAGGAAATTCCTTGTCAACTAATGTGATTACACCCGTTTTCAAAATTACGCGACCTCCCTGAAAAAT